TACAAGTCGATCCGAAAGTAGTCAAACTCAATTCGAAAGTAGTCAAACTCGATCCGAAAATAGTCAAATTAATTTTGCCGAAAGAAAAAATCCCCGTGTTTACACCGTCCCCCTATAGCTTGTAAAAGTGTTCCCCTTTCAAGAAAAACAACACAATCCCCCTAAACGGACGAATGAAGGACAGTGTCGCGGGGTCCAGGACATACCGGTACTGTAGTATCACGATATATCCGGTTGTTGGCGCGTCAAAACCCAAGGGGGATGGCTCAAAAGTAGGTTTTTATGGGGGACGGACAAACAAGTACTTACTAAGTCTAAAACAGATGAAAACGGAACTTCATTTCGAGTTCTCAAAATCCCCCCAAAGTGACTGTTGATATACAAGGAACCAAGTCAGATTCCTGTGAGTAGGATTCCGCTGTTCGTACTGGAAATCCCGTACTATTACTTGTACGTACCTTTTACCACGAAAATCTGTAGGGCCAAAAGTATGATGACTAAAATCTGTAGGGCCGGAAGTATGATCGATTTCCAAGTCTCATAAACGCTACAGCACTTCGAAGTCAGCAGAATATTTTGTGCTGAGTCGCAGCTCTAGATATTTGGAATGGATACACGCAGGGCACAGACAGAATGCAGGCTGATGGACCGATTCAACGTTGAGTTCGAGTGGTAGTGATGCAAATGCTGTTACTGTACCTGTCAGAATGAAATTTCGCAGATGTTTCGTTGGGAAGTTATAGTCCATATACAGTTCCCCACTATCAACAATCAGCCTCTTGGAATATATGTTGTTGATCTGAGACGCTTGGTGTTGCTGTTGTTGTTGCTGTTGTTGTTGTTGTTGAAAACCGTTTGAAACAGGAGATATTTGAAGCGGGGATTACCATGTTGGAAACGTGAGATTGTCATGTTTGACGGGATTACCATGTTTGAAGCGGGGAATACCATGTTTGAAGCGGGGAATACCATGTTTGAAGCGGGGAATACCATGTTTGAAACGTGTGACTGTCATGTTTGAAGCGGGGAGTGTGAAATGGGGAATGTCAAACGAACAAGGATTGATTGTGACTGAAGCACTTTACTCTGTAGATCATTTGCACGGTCGGAGATCACCACCATCTTCTTTTATATAATAATATTGTTGTACCAGCTTGTATAGCAACAAAGGGTCGGCAAAGATCCACCAAGTTTCAATGGTTGCTGCTGCTAGTAAACAAATCAAGACACAAAGCACCACAATACCACAGGAATACATATATCTAGATCTTTTAATGATTAATGAAAGCTATCATTCGTCTCAAAGAGTAGTTTGACCGAACACCATGTTGGAAACGTGAGATTGTCATGTTTGACGGGATTACCATGTTTGAAGCGGGGAATACCATGTTTGAAACGTGTGACTGTCATGTTTGAAGCGGGGAGTGTGAAATGGGGAATGTCAAACGAACAAGGATTGATTGTGACTGAAGCACTTATCTGCTCGCTAAAAATGTGATCACGATTTTTAACGGTTCTCAAGCATGCGCCCCGCGTGCTCTGAACGTGGTTGCACGTTGGTTTTCAAGCATGACAGTCCAAAGAATCATGATTGGAAAACTGGAGACTCTCAAGTCCCACGATTTGCAAACATGATAGTCACAACTATCATGATTGGAAAACTGCAGACTGTCAAGTCCCATGATTGGAAAACATGTCAGTCCCAAGCATCATGATTGAAAAACTGCAGACTTTCAAGTCCCACAGACTCGAAATCCAAATCAATAGATTCAGGATGACTTGTTCCGGAGATCATAATTTGTTCATTGCGACTATCAAACAACGACTGTAGTAGCTTTTTTCACGATGGCCTCTCATGAAGATGACAAAGACGAGATGTCTGGACCCACCTGCAAAAGAATCCAAGACTGGCACGAACAGCGAAAAGAGGAGCACCATGCGAGAGAGTTTGCATTTCAGCATTGCGTTGCAGGCTTGACACTGTTTGCATCTTTTCCAGATCCAAAGCCACTTCCCTTGAAGGCGTTTATGATGGAATATTTGGGGACAGCACCACAAATGAGTAGCCTGAGCTTTACCTTTGCTTTGGAGATGCTCCATAAGGATTTCAAGAAGTACATGTATCCGCACGGCCATTAAGTCTGCAAAGACACCGAGCTGTATATATTTCTGACTTCAGTCACGACGAACTATAGTTTTGACTAATAGATCTAGGAGTATTTTGATTATTTTTCTTTTGAATACATATTCAGCACTAGAATTTGGCAAGAAGAACTAGCGATAATATAGCAGATAGCCAATCTAGTACAAGCCATCCCAGTCTTCTTCGTCGATTGTGATAGCAATTATCAAGATACCTCTCAGACTCCCTTTGCAGCTATCAAATGAAACATGGTATTCCCCGCTTGAAACATGGTATTCCCCGCTTGAAACAGGATAATCCCGTCAAACATGACACTCCTTTTTTTCAAACATGATATTCCCTTTTTTCAAAAACATGATATTCCCGTTTATCTCCCTGATATCAAATAAGACATCCTCCAAGACGAAAACATCGACAACAAAAATCAACAAAAATCAACAAAAACCAAAATACACTAAACTAGAGCTCTATTTAATAACGAATACTTATCTGTTCTAGGAGTAGCTTCGCTTATAATCTTGGTCTGCATATCCTCACAACTGCTGGTGCAACTTCGTGGCGAAAAGATGAGCGATTGGCACCACTCCTCCTTTTGCTATGAATGAATCCAACGAGACGATTTTTGTTGGCAGCGTTGAATAGAGGGCATTATGTTGATTCCTATGCAATTCATGTGGCATCCCAAGGCTGATTGTTGACAGTAGGGAACTGCATTTCCCTTGAAACGCATGGTGATTCTTCCAGAACCGCTTTACTCTGTAGATCATTTGCACGGTCGGAGAAGGAATATGCTGCTCTACAGCACTTCGAAGTCAGCAGAATATTTTGTGCTGAGTCGCAGCTCTAGATATTTGGAATGGATACACGCAGGGCACAGACAGAATGCAGGCTGATGGACCGATTCAACGTTGAGTTCGAGTGGTAGTGATGCAAATGCTGTTACTGTACCTGTCAGAATGAAATTTCGCAGATGTTTCGTTGGGAAGTTATAGTCCATATACAGTTCCCCACTATCAACAATCAGCCTCTTGGAATATATGTTGTTGATCTGAGACGCTTGGTGTTGCTAGCTTTTTTCACGATGGCCTCTCATGAAGATGACAAAGACGAGATGTCTGGACCCACCTGCAAAAGAATCCAAGACTGGCACGAACAGCGAAAAGAGGAGCACCATGCGAGAGAGTTTGCATTTCAGCATTGCGTTGCAGGCTTGACACTGTTTGCATCTTTTCCAGATCCAAAGCCACTTCCCTTGAAGGCGTTTATGATGGAATATTTGGGGACAGCACCACAAATGAGTAGCCTGAGCTTTACCTTTGCTTTGGAGATGCTCCATAAGGATTTCAAGAAGTACATGTATCCGCACGGCCATTAAGTCTGCAAAGACACCGAGCTGTATATATTTCTGACTTCAGTCACGACGAACTATAGTTTTGACTAATAGATCTAGGAGTATTTTGATTATTTTTCTTTTGAATACATATTCAGCACTAGAATTTGGCAAGAAGAACTAGCGATAATATAGCAGATAGCCAATCTAGTACAAGCCATCCCAGTCTTCTTCGTCGATTGTGATAGCAATTATCAAGATACCTCTCAGACTCCCTTTGCAGCTATCAAATGAAACATGGTATTCCCCGCTTGAAACATGGTATTCCCCGCTTGAAACAGGATAATCCCGTCAAACATGACACTCCTTTTTTTCAAACATGATATTCCCTTTTTTCAAAAACATGATATTCCCGTTTATCTCCCTGATATCAAATAAGACATCCTCCAAGACGAAAACATCGACAACAACATCAAGCGTCTCAAATCAACAAAATCAACAAAAATCAACAAAAACCAAAATACACTAAACTAGAGCTCTATTTAATAACGAATACTTATCTGTTCTAGGAGTAGCTTCGCTTATAATCTTGGTCTGCATATCCTCACAACTGCTGGTGCAACTTCGTGGCGAAAAGATGAGCGATTGGCACCACTCCTCCTTTTGCTATGAATGAATCCAACGAGACGATTTTTGTTGGCAGCGTTGAATAGAGGGCATTATGTTGATTCCTATGCAATTCATGTGGCATCCCAAGGCTGATTGTTGACAGTAGGGAACTGCATTTCCCTTGAAACGCATGGTGATTCTTCCAGAACCGCTTTACTCTGTAGATCATTTGCACGGTCGGAGAAGGAATATGCTGCTCTGCTTCACCAATAATGAAAATATGGTAGTATCACGCTAAGGGAGAAGGAAAAGCAGCGGCTCCGTCAGCAATCTATAATCCGCTTGAACATCAACCGTCTAAACATCATTTTGTTCTTGGTGTTTTCCAAAAAAAGTACGATTTTTCGGAGAAATGACTGAAGTCTGTTGGGCCTAAAGTATGATGGGTACGTAAATACCGTATCGTACTGGGTACGTCTGTTTCGGACCGTAAACGGAATCTTCCACTGACGAACCTAGAAAGGAAACTAGGGGAGGGAGGATCGTAAAAAATAATCTCGGATATACTTCCTCCCGTTTTTTGTAAGCTGGAGAACTCCTTTCTTATTTGGACGTCCTTGTTCGTCCGTCCCCCAAACAAATCCACTTTTGAGCCATCCCCAAGTTGTTTTTATCATGTGGTATTCAACTTCTGCTTCACAGTCACACAATAAAACGTTCGAATTGATACTTTTTCTATCTTGCCTCCTCATTAGAAAATTTCGACGCGACAATTGTGATAAATCCAACCAAGACCGCATGATTAGAACACATTGCGAAGTGATTATACCCCTAGAGGAAGAACTTCAGAGAACAGTTTCTATTACCGTCAATTTGTACCGGTATCTACCCAAGCAATATGGATGGTGGCTCATGCTGTCATCTGAGCTTAAATGCTACTCCGGAAAGTTTTTCGCTTTCCTCCCAAAGTGCCCGTGCTGAAGCTGGATCCATTGCAAAAGATTCGAGTTGCTTCACATTGCAGAATTCATCGTAGTATCGACCCTTTTTCAGTAGCGTAGGCTTTTCTGTTGCTTGGTATATCTGTGAGTTCGCTCCCTCAGCTACAGTCTTCATGCTGCCGTAAAACAATTTCGATGTTATGTCACTTCCTTTGGCCACGTTGTCTCTCCAAATATCTGTTCCAACGACTCCGGGATGCAGACAGGTTGTAGTGAACCAGTTGAACCCTGCAGCATCGGCACGCCGTTGCAACTCTTGCGTGAAGAGTATGTTCTCAAGTTTTGTTCTGCAATATGCAAGCCATCCTACATAATTTTTCTCAAAGTTCAGATCCTGCAAATCCAGAACACCCGCAAAGCTGTGAGCAGTAGAAGAAAGATTGACTACGCGGGAACCGTCACGGTTCAGAAGCGGAAACAAGAGAGCTGTCAAGACGAATGGACCCTTCAGAAGAGTGTTAGACGACAATTGGTTCCGTATTGCATGTCAAATGAAGCTTGATTCGTACCAAATGATTGGATTGAAATGTACGTTCAAACCCATCCCTAGTTATCTCCCTTTTGTTGATTTCAATCCCTGCATTGTTCATGAGTACGTCTACCTTGGTATTTGGCAAGAGTTGGCTGAATCGTTCGGGAAAGGACTGCACCGTTGACAGGTCGTCGAGGTCCAAGGTCAAAAAGTAGATATTGGAATTTGCAACATTCTTCTGTGAGAGATAATCCTGAACTTGCTGGACTGCCGCCTCCCCCTTGGTAGGCGTCCGACTCGTAAGGACAACAGTTGCTCCAGCAGCCGCGATCCTCTTTGCCGATTCCAAACCAAGTCCAGTGGACGCTCCCGTGATTATGTGTACTTTTCCAACTTGAGAGTTTGCTGGAGGCTCGTATAGTTTTGGAGCAGCAATAGCAGCTTCAGGAACTGATAAGAGTCCCCCCAGAGGAACACTGCCGCCGAGGATCAGTGCTCCTTGGTGGAGGAAGCCCTTGCGATCACTTTTTGGTGGTCCTTGGAGTGACAAGGCGGCAGTTGGTTGATAACAGTTTGATATGTATGCAACAAACAATCCGAGCAAAGAAAGATGCATTGCGTTGTCACTGACTGGTCTTGGCTACAAAACAAAAGATCTGGATGTAAGAGATGGACAGCACTGGTGTCCGGTTATGACATGAATGCGATGATGTGATGATGGCTTTATCCTGTTGATGACGTCATTCACACGTTCGGTTGAGTCGAAAAGTGAGAATAGATAAATGTGCGTGAACCAAAGGTGATTTGATTGTAGTACTATGTAGTAGTAAGGCAGAGATGGAGTTCCACCAAGAAGGGGTAGACCTACAGTAGCGCCACGGTGTTACACATGAGAAATTACATAAATTTCGCCTTATAATCTACTCGTCGTCTTCTTCTACCATTTCTGAGGAGGATAAAGTATCACTCTTTTTCTTTCCTAGACCCATCGCTCGAAAGGCAGTGCTCATGACGCCTCCATTCTTGGGCATGTAGTCTTTTTCCATCATGCTGCCTACAATTTTTGTATCCGCATACAATTCATCCAGAGTGATTCCTGTAAGTTCGTCCCTACACTTTTCTAGGCGCTCTTCATACTCGGTACAGCTGGTGCGAGATTAAAATTTAATGTGAGACGCAATCCTCTGCTTGCAAATTGTTTGTTATCGAAGCAACTCACCTATGATATCGCTCCACGCGCTCAAAATCTTTTGTGACTACGGCCTTGAAAGCCTTCATCAAGGATTTCCCTTGGTCCAAAGTATCCTGTACATCTTTGGTGAATTCCTCGTCGTCCATTCTCTGGTCAACAGGATAGGAGATGGAGTAAGGAAGCTCCGATTCTTCTTTTGCTTTTTGGGCCAGTTTCAGTCGCATTCCCACGTGCTTGTAAAGATTTCCAGCTCCGGTTTTGACGGCCAAAATAGGCATGAAGAAGCCAGCTTTGGGGACAGCAAATGGCATCAGAGTTACCATATCTTCCGCATTTTGGATCCGCAAATGTTGCAACCGTTTCCTTCGTTCTAGCTCTTGAAACGCAAATCTCCACTTCCAATTTCCAACAAATGGACTTTCATCGTTCGCGTAACGTGAGAAACAAACAGATTCATGGAAATCATATTTCACGTGTATCATTCGCGTACGTACCTTGCAACACTATAGACTATCACGCCATTTGGCGACAACTCAATCATTTCATCATCGGCGGCAGCAAAAAAGCCATACATGGTACTAAGGGCTCCTCCAAGGGAATGACCGGTGACATAGAGTTGAAATCCCGGATTTTCCTTTAGTTGTGTCTTGACGTCCTCCATGATAGTTTCGATCCGTGTCTTCTTTGTCTCCTTGTTCATCTGGAAGAGATACTGATAAAATCCAGTGTGGACGTTTATTGTCTCCGGCATGCTTTCTGTTCTCTCCTTTTCCATCATGGACTTCACAGGGTTAGGGATCTTCTTTTGGCTCATCTTAGCGTCTTGTATGAAATCTTTGGGTGTCGCTGAACCACGAAAGACAACACTGACTCGTTTTCGATCTTGATTGACGACAATTGCATGTACAATCTCTTCTTTGGAGTTATCATCCACAAAGTTCGTCATAACAGCCGATTTCGCTGACTTCTTTTTGGGGGGATCCTTCTTGCCGTTCATGAAGCTACCAAGCACCTTATCAAGACCCATTTTGCTGCCAGTTTTACTTGTGAGCAGCGTATCGATCCCAGTGTTCCAAATGTTACTCAAGTATCCAGAACTCGCTCCTTCTTCAATGGCATCTTGATCATCGGCATGATGAATCTGCATATGTTTCATTGCTTTCAAAAGATCTTCAACATCCTGATTATTGATAGCCATCTCTTCCAGCTTATCTTTGTTGGCCAATATAATGGCCAAAGTCTGCTCCGCGGTCAAGGGTGCTTGCAAGTCGTCAATGGTCATGCCATCCAATTTGCCTTCCCGCGCCAATTCTCGAATGTCCGCAAAGATGTAAATGACAAGGGCCCCAGCTACCATTTCCAGGGCCTCCTGGTAGATGCTCTTGGGTTTAGGCGCCATGATTCTTGGTTCTGTGTCGTAATAAAGAGTTTTCTGTAGGCAGTATAGCAAGTACAAGATTGCAATGCCGGGATTGGAGCTTATTCCTATTGAAGATTATTCTTCAGAAATTTGACCGTTGCAATAATCACGTGATATGTCGTGATTGACAACGCAAGCTGGCCGGAATGGATGGTCGGATGAATCAAACAAAGAATATTTTGGAGAAAATTCCAGAAAAACAACATCGCGATCAATCATCTCATTCCTACAGTACAATTCAAAAGCCTACTAGGAACTTCATCCTCAAATGGCAGTACGACTTTCAGAACAACAGGAAGAAAATAAGCCTGAGAGGAGCATACGACAGCTACCTCTCCTGATTCTTCTCATTATTGCCTCTATCTCGTTGCGTAAGTCATTGACGATGCCAAGAACATTTCTGGGTGATACTACACGAAAGCTAGACGCTGTAGAAGAAGAACTTCCTTTAAATGATTCGACTGTCATCATAACATCATCGTTGATCCCGACACATCCGTCTATCAGGATGGTCAACGAGACTGTAAATTCAATACGAGAAATGATTGGTGGGTTGGCCTACAATACCCCTATATTGATTTCCGTCGATGGGAAGAAGGAATACAACAACGAAGATATAGAAAGACTCCAGAAATACGTTGAAAACTTGCGAATACGATTCCTCCGTGATCCCTATGTCACTATTCTCAACAATTATCAATTTGGCCACATTTCGAATAGTATTCGAGTGGCGCTGCAGGTGGTGGAGACTGAATTCATCTACGTCGTCCAGCATGATTTCAAATTCATCAAGCCCATCAACCACACATCTCTAGTCGGTGTCATGCGAGAACACCCCAACCAAATCAAAATTGTAAGGTTCGGTAAACGTAAACATCGAGAAGACGTTCTTGACGTTTGTGATGAATATAATGAGTTGGATTCCGTGAAACATGGCCTGTATCTTGCACTTGCACATTGGTCGGACAACAACCACTTTACTACCAAGAAGTACTACGCAAAGGTGTTAGATAATATTGGTCCTACTCCCAGACCAGTAGAGCATCCCATGATGAACAATCTTATCCTGAATGCATCCGATTGTACGTACGTGCGGCAGTATCTTTACAACTGGAAGCACGGTCCGTTCATTGAGCATCTCGATGGCAGACTCACGCTTCAGTGAAAGCTGCAATAGCCAATTCCATAACAGCTTTGAGGTACACGTACTCCATTCCTATACTTACAATCGGGATTGAACTTGCTGGTGATGATTTATGATGGAGAAATTTGACCGTTGGAAAAAGCAGATCATTTGTTTTTAAAAAATATATATTATAGAATAGAGTAGTAAAATGCAGTTTAGCGACAATATTGTGGGGCTGTGACACAAAGCGGACATTCACGAGTAGCCACATTTCATCGCTCATTATCGGATCCATCATCTTCCTATTCAACAACCTTTTTCATCCCCAAATGGCAGTACGACTTTCAAAACAGCAAGAAGAAAATAAGCCTGAGAGGAGCATACGACAGCTGCCTCTCCTGATTCTTCTCATTATTGCCGTTGTCTTTTTGTATGAGTCGTCATTTATGATGTCTTCTAGGGCATTTCTGGAGGGTGAGAAACGAAAACCGGAATCTGTCGCAGAGCAAATCCCATTAACTGATTCGACTGTCATCATAACATCATCGTTGATCCCGACACATCCGTCTATCAGGATGGTCAACGAGACTGTAAATTCAATACGAGAAATGATTGGTGGGTTGGCCTACAATACCCCTATATTGATTTCCGTCGATGGGAGGAAGGAATACAACAAAGAAGATATAGAAAGACTCCAGAAATACGTTGAAAACTTGCGAATGCGATTCCTCCATGATCCATATGTCACTATTCTCAACAATTATCAATTTGGCCACATTTCGAATAGTATTCGAGTAGCACTGCAGATGGTGGAAACTGAATTTGTGTATGTTGTCCAGCATGATTTCAAATTCATCAAGCCCATCAACCACACATCTCTAGTCGGTGTCATGCGAGAGCACCCCGACCAAATCAAAATGGTTAGGTTCGGCAAAAACAGATTTCGAGGTGATGTCCTTGACGTTTGTGATGAATACAATAAGTTGGATTCCGTGAAGTATGGCATATATCTTGTTCTTGCCCAGTGGTCAGACAATAACCACTTCACCACCAAGAAACACTACGATAGGATCTTGAAAGATATCGGTCCTACTCCCAGACCAGTAGAAGCACCCATGATGGGTCATCTTGTCCTAAATGCAACTTCTGATTGCACATATTTGCTACAGTATACATACAACTGGATGCAGGGCCCATTCATTGGACATCTTGATGGCAGACTCACTCTTCAACGAAAGTAATAATATTAAACTTCATAATAGGGCGAGCAGTAGTCCTTTTATACTTCATTCATGACATAATCAACGATTCGTCGTCGTCGCCTCCCCCGTCCTCCTCTCGCTCTGCTGCTTCCGAGTCGACTACTTCTCTGCATTGCCAACTTGGATGGACTCTTGGCAATATGTGGCAAGACATTAGCAATGACGACTTCTGCTCCAGAACTAACAAGGCATTGCTGTCTCAATTCCAAGTCTTGGTTGACCTCATGTACCTTTGGCGGCTTTGGTTGCTGATAATTCATCAATTCCTTGTTCCACATGGCCAATTCGAGCAAAGCAGCCATTTCACGCAGCTCAAAGTGTCTCAACTGCGCCAAGACGCTTTTCACATAGAATCGTTTCTCTGCAAACGACAGGTATAGGGACGTAAGGTCGGTGTTATTGATCTTGGCCATGACTTCGTCCTTCCAAGCCTCCAGTCCTAGAATAGCCAGACGGCCGGCAGTCCCTTTGTTCAATAAAAAGACAATCTTGTCCATGGAAAGATCCTTCAACCAATGCGGGGAGGCTATCAGTCGTTCGACTAAAGGGTCCCATAAAATGGCCTCGTTGGAAAAGTTTCGATCCTGGTATTGGACAAGCAACTGAAGAACGGGAAAGGAAACCAATTTCCAAAACCAAAATCTGTCTTGAATGCAAAGTCGGAGATTGATGCAATTTTCGTCCTTTTTCCGCTCACTTTCGTCCTCTTCGGCGAAGACAATTTTGTGACTTTGAAAGACCATTTGAATGGATTCCACTGATGCATGGTTGACACACATTTTCTTGATCATGGGAACCCATTCAATCTTGTGGTCCGGAAAGATGCGCTTTTGACTGTGTAACAACAACAAGACGCTTTCCAATGGTGCATGGGTCTGGTAGGCATATAGGAGTGGATAGTCTCCCCACTTGTCCTTGGTAATTAGATCAGTCGGATTGTAATCAATAAGCAGCCGATATAGATCCAACGATTGATGGACAGAACATGCCAAAATGTGTAGGGGAGTCATTCCAAAGGCATCTTGTTGGCTGCCTATATGCGGAGCGTCAATGTTTTCCAGTCTAGGAGTAAAAGGACTTCCAGACCATGGGAAATGGAGAAGGTTCTGGTTTTTACCACCAAAGACGCCTCCACCGCAACCATCATGACAGTGCTTGTTTGCTAGATTGTGCTGCCGTTTGCCCCGTTCCCAAGCAATGGCCTTTTTCAGCTTGCGAATCGTGGTTTCTTGCGGATAATGAGACTGATAATAACAGAGTTTGTGAATCTGCAATCCATCAAATCGATGTTTCAATGCTTCCATTAGTTCTTCTTCCTGTGGATAGTGCTTTTTCAATTCGGCACATCCCACAAAGGCTGTGACTGGGACTTCCATGTCCATCGATTGAGGAAGGGCAATGTTCCGAAGAGAATGACACAAATTAAAAGCAGCATCCTGAATGGCCACAGAAGAATCGTCGTGAAAGCACAATCCAAGTTTCCACAGAAAGCGGCTCCAGTCGCCAGCTAGATTGTCGGTCGTGCTATGATTCGATGCTTCGATTCGTTCGGGAAGTTCAATCGAACGGAGTTCCCAGCAGTTTGCAAAGGCGCTCCCTCCAATGGAATGGACCGTTGGAGGAATTCTCAACTTGCGCAACGACCAGCAGTTGTAAAAGGCCTTGTCCTCGATGGATTCCAAAGTCTCTGGGAAATCCAATATCCGCAACGATTGGTTGGATGCGGCAATTCGTTTCCCAGTAGAAATTTCATATCTCGTCGTCATATGGGCGTTCGTTCTTGCATATGTGCTGTTGTTGGAAGGCCCATGAAAGGAGCGCTGAGCCATCAAAAGGTCTTCGTCCACAGTGGGTTCCTGGTCAGAGCTCTCCTCAATCAGAACGTTGTTGTCGTTGTTATCGTTGTTGTTGGGTCGACGACGTGTGGATGCCATTCTTCCGTTCCTAATTCGCTATTGCTCTACTGGCTGGGTGCTTTCTATTCTTTCAGTGCCTAGCTGTCTTTTTTGTTGTTGCTCCGAGGTATTGCTCGATATGGCACACAACAGAATGATGATGATATTTCAATGATATACAGTACCGTATGCTGGAGTCACGCTGAAGATGCGAGTACATAATAATACATGTATCTGTACAGTAGGATATATTATGGGTTTGGGCTGCAAACGGGGACGGGGGATACCGTAGTGTGCCTCACATTATAGGGCTTGTTGTTGGACCATGATTGCTATATACATAATTGATCCACATCCTTCACTTCACCTTACGACACTATAGCTCTTTTCTGAGCCTACCATGGGACAATTACTTTATTCTGTTCCTAGTATTGATCATTTTGCCTTATATATATGTACCTATAAAGAAGTACGATAGTAGTACCAAAACTTCTCCAGTGTCTGGTAGGAAAATATTTTGGGGGAGGAAACAGAGGAGAAACTTCTGATTGACTGCGCAATGATTCGCGCAACAGCAAGTTATTATTGGTTGTCTTTGGCATTATTATTTGCTAATGTTGAGATTTGGGCATCACTAATACGAATAAGACCGACGGTCACTCTCTCGTTTGCGATCGATTGAACCTGTATATATACATATAGACACACACACACACACACATACACACTCCTTTATCCATCACAAGACACAAGAAAAAGAAGCAGAAGACCATGAGTTCACCTCCCTCGTTTGAGCCTGAAACCCAACCGCAACATGAATTGACCCAACTTGAAATGGACGACAACTTTACCATCATTGACTCCGTCGTTTGGGGAGGACCGGATACTACAGAGTATGATGAACTCGCGGCAAAACCCAAACCCGATCGTTCTGGGGATCCCTGTTATTGTAGACCTACAGGCAACGGAGAACGAACTTGTGTGGATTTGAGTTGCATCCTGCATGCGTGTTTGGAGGAATGCCGATCCAATTGTCCGGCGGGTGATTCCTGTGGCAATAAGAGGATTCAAAAGCGCGAATGGAAGGACTTTGAAGTTATTGATGCTGGGAAGAAAGGTAGGGGCTTACGATTGCTAGAAGATGCTAAGAAGGGAGACTTGATAACAGAATACTGCGGTCGTGCTGTCAACAAAAAATACTTGCCTCGCTTATTCCAACGCTATGGGAACGAACGGAAATTGTACATTATGGCCCTCGACAAAGATATTTACTTGGATGCTAGAAGTCATGGAAGTTTAGCCCGCTACATTAACCACGCTTGCGAACCAAATTGTCAGGTGGAACGGTGGAAGGTCCGCGGGGTGGTCCGAGCCGCTGTCATTGCCAAATGTGACATTCCAGCTGGAACAGAGCTCTCCTTTGATTATCAGTGGGAACGAAAGCGAGGGCGAGCTCCAACCAAATGTCACTGTGGTACACCGACCTGTCGGGGAACTCTGGAGGTCACCAAGTCCATGGACGAGCTGGCGTTGGAAAAGAAACTCAACGCACATTGGAAGAAACCATTTATGATGCGACCGCAAAACGAGATTGTCAATCGATGCGTCAAGATTTTTTCCAAGGAATCTCAAATCTATTTTATTGGGGATGTCACGTCGTACGATCCAGATACGGGGAAGCACTTGATCATGTATCGACACGATTTTGAAGAAGTCTGGGAAGAGCTCAAGAACGAAGACTGGATGATTCTCGACGAAGAAGCTCAACAATTTATCATTCGCAAGAAGGTGACTCCTTTCAAGATTAGTGATGAATCTTCGTCTCTCTTGAACAATAACATGCTACCTGGAATGCTCCTACAGGGCCGGGGACAAATTGCAAAGAACTATCTTTATGTTCCGACTCAGGTCAAGACGACCATGCAATCCAAACACTTGATCGAACGATGTCAGCGAACTTGCCGTGTTACCATCACTCTACAAGAGTTTACGATCAATTCTGTAATCAACAAGACAGAACCTGAAGACACAGAACACAATGAGAAGCTGACAGCAATCTCCAAAAGTAAGGATGGGGTTGCCTGGAAGTTAACCATTTTGGGCGACGACATTTCCAAAGCACATGCTATTTTAGAAAAGAACGTGGCCTTTACGGAACGGGTCCTTGCCACAGAAGCAGCAAGTGGAGTTGCCAACGGGGTCAGTCCCAGTCCAATGATGCCCACTCCAAATCGATCTCCTTTGCCCAATGGTCCAGCCGGTTTGGCAATTACGCCCAGCCAACTCGTGACACAAAATAGTACCGAAGTCATCTTACCAAGAACAATTGTGGATCAAGCAAAGCAATTGTTGCCAGTTGTGAGAGACTTGTGTCGGAGCGTCAACTTTTCGTTTGCACCATCGGAATCGAAAAGTAAACAATTTGCAAAGATTTTGGTGGATGGAAGCCTCCAGTCGGATGTGGAAGCCGCCAAGGGGCATCTTTGGCATTTGTTGGAACAGGCCTGTCAAGAAAATAATGCTCCCAAGACTCCTTCCGGTCTATACAAAGACTTGTGCATTTTGGGAGGTGAGATGAGCAGTCGTGACTTTCACAATCTTTTGGAATATGGCAAGACAGATACAGGAAACCAATTTCTATCGAAACAAGAGAGACAACAGCGCCAGCAACAGGAAATGATCAGACGTCTAGATGCCAAGGAAGACCTTACCAAATGGTCTCCTTTCTTCGCTTCATTCGAGATTTGTCAAAGATGTACGATATGGGTCCAGTCTGATTCGGACAAGGGCCGTATTGATAGCGCCAATCGACGAGTGAGTGAAGCCACTCCAGATGCACCCCGAAAGATATACTTTGGATGTAATCCGAGAGAAATACCCAAATTGTGGGATCTTGTCAAGTTGCGGTCCCAAGAAGTTGGACGGGGCGTCAAATATTTGTACCTAGGATCGGATCGTTTGTATCAACCAATGATGATGAAGAACAGTGGCCGATTCTTCGAATTTGTGCAAAAAGCGACTGGAGCCAATGTCACAGTAGATGGGATGACTGGAGATCACTTGCGGATTGACGGTCGCACTAAGGATGAGTCGAGTAACCCAATTGACGAAAACGGAAAATCAAGATCAGAGGAAGAACAAGCAGAATTGGCCGAAGAATTGGTACGATTACAAGTCGAAATATTTCGCGACAATGCCATTCGCAAGCAGAATTGGATTTTTGGAAGGGATTGGACACTGGCGGCGAAGAAAGCACGAGGCAATTCTTCTCCTGACGGTTCACTTGCATCCGGAATCAGTGCCTCTTCGTCGAAATCAGTCTCTTTTGATTCGAAAACACTCATGCAAGCCTGCGTCGAAATTGAAGAAATCGTTACAAATCTCAATTTCCGAGGCACGGTGGGGGCTCATGCAGCAGTGATTCTGTATCGGTATGCTGCCGTTTTGCAGGATACCCAACTAAAGATTCGTGAAATATTGCTAGCGGCTATTTTCATTGCAAACAAGGCACAAAAGAACAAGAAATGGAAACCCTTGGAGCATATCTTGAGGGCAGCTTACAAGAGCTTCTATCCTGGAGTGCATTTTGATTCGAAGATGGCCGAAGTAGTTGTTTGGGAAGAAAAGGTCCTTGCAGCCGAATCCGAGATATTGCTATCTCTTCAATACGATGTCTTTTGGAAAGGTTTTGATTGGATTGAAGCAGCAGCAAATCAGTCTGGGGGAATGGATAAAAAGTCAGCCAGAAATGCTCTGATATTGTCGGTCAGTGGACCTTTCATGTCAGCCGGGCCTGAAGTTTGGCTCGAGTATGGTCCTGATCATATATTCGCTGCAGCAGCTGGTTTCATGGGGGAGAAGATAGAACCACTCTTCTCAGCGTTGTCACTGATACCCATTCGGGTTATGCGTGTGGCAGAGATTATTTCTTCATGCATCAAAGAAACTGGAAGAAAACAATCGGAATCCATTTTTGAGCGCAAAAAAGCATTTTTGAGTCGGCTGGAAGGAATCAACACAACCTGTGTGTCAGCGATGATTTCATTCAATACTGACAATCCAAGTGGACAGCTTTCCGAGCGGGAACAGAGATATCGCATCATTGGAGATCGATGTCGAAAGCGACGTGTCTACTCTCAGATTGCCAAGGTAACGATAAAGGAATTGATACTTCCATACCTAGATGGTATCAGTGCGGAAAGTAATTGCAACATTTACATCGAGCAAGGCTCTCAGGAAGGTTTCTATGATGTCGCGATGGAAGGCTCATGGAGAGCCATTTCGATTGCATCCTTCTTATTGGATGAGTCGGTAAGAAGAATGGGACAATTGCCGTCGCCATTGGATAGTACAACCAATGTGAAATCTACAAGCATCATTCAAGCAAAGGGGGATGCTGGTTTGGTTCAAATGGATTCCATTGAAACTGTTGATGCTTGGATGGGGACTATACAAGCAGATATTGAAAAGAAGGCACCCTGGGGACGCAAGACGGGGGGAAAGTGCTGTGTTCCAGGCAAAATCAAGGAGTCAGATTTGAGGCAAGCTGGATTGAGATGGTGGCTTCCGCCAAGATATGGCCCAACCACCTCTGGGTCCATTTGCGAAATGTTCCTCATCAACAACGGTGACTCCGAAGCAATCGAAGCCCTTGGGGACCTGACGCAGGCATTCCAAGGCGAATCCGAGGCATTCTCCCGCCTGAATTCTGCTGCATCCCAGCAATTGAATGGCAACAGTGATCGATTTGTAGCACTTTCAATGCAACGATGGCCCTCCGAGAAAGTGGCCAATTACGAACAGAAATTGGTAGATGGCTCCAAGAAGGATCCAACGAAGGCTTCCACGAAGGATTCCAAGAAGAGGAGGAAAGATAGGGAGAAAGACACCGCTCCAGTTAAATTGGGCTTTTCCCCAGCTGCTTTGCAAGAGATGCAACTACTTCACAAAATTCATGGGCTCATCAAGTCTCCTTACGGTCATCCGAACTTTGTGCTTCCTGTTGGTGTTGCCATGCCATCCGAAGTCGAAAAAGAAGACGTTGATTCGCCAGTGAGCGGATCAAAAATCTTGGATCAAAAGCGTATCAATGATGACATTGAAGACATTTTCTCGCTCACAAGAACAAGCTTGGAGAACGAGGCCGCGGCTCAAAGTGAACGCAAACGAATTGAAAAGATATCGGGTCCACATCTCGTTTTCCATGCAACGCCCTTTGTCATGCAACGTTTCTGCAGCAAAAAGAGCAAGAAAGAACCAGTCAGTCCAAGCATCCTTGCAGCATGGTTTAATGACTTGCTATCCGCGATGCTGCACTGTCACTCCAATGATATAGTCCTGAGAAACTTTCAAGGGGATCAAATTGTCGTAGACCACAGTGGAGTCGCCAAGTTTGCTGGCTTTTATCGTGCCACGATTTTGAGTTCCGCAGACAGGTTGATGGATATTTACAGAATGGCAGAAGATGGGGAACTCAAACGCGAAGAAAAGAGCAAGAGCACAGAAATGCTGAGCAATCCATATGCAGCACCTGAAATACTATTGGGGGCACCCAAATTCATGAAAGAAACCGACATTTGGACCTTGGGCTGCTTCTTTGCGCATTTGCTCCTGGGTCGTCCAGCTTTTGGTGGGAGCAGTCGAGACTCACCTCCCAGTAGAGAATCCATGCTGACAGCAATGTACAAGATGGTTGGGGTTCCTGCCGAAGATAACTTTCGAGAGGCAGCAAAATTCCCATACTACCGCAAGCCGGCAAAGAAGTATCCTCCAGATGTGAAGAAAGCTCTCAATGCCATGTTGAAAGACGAAGCTCCAAAACACATGGATGCCATTGATTTAATTGACAAGATGCTTCGATTGGACCCACGAGACCGAGTAACAGCCGAAGAGGCCTTGCAACACAAATTTATGCAAGATTACATCGAACAGAGCAACGAAGCCGAGTTTCGTGACAAGTTTGTCAATGACTGGATCTCGTTGAAACGCAATTCCATGCGCCCCAACGATGAAATGGAAAAGGAACGTGGAATCAAACGCAAAGCAATGCTAATGGCAGCCTCCAATACCGCCGCAGAAACCAAGACGGAAGCCGACGATCTATATGATATGGACGACCTTATGGAGTCAGCGACGAAGGCAGCCAAAGTGGATTAAGGAGCTACAGTATAGTGCTGTAGGGTTCGATGAAAGGTTGAACACGTAATGGAATCCTCAGCTATCTTGTTGCAAGAAAAATATTGACTCCAACATATATACCGGTAAACTAATGAAGCCTTTTCAATCTTGTGATACTCCAGGGGCTTCAAGTCTGTTTCTGCATTCTTCGCTCTTCCCGTAACACAGCGTATGCACAATGACCCGCTTGGAAGTATCATTATATATTATAATATCAATACGCCGCGATGCATTTTCTCTGTGCGACCCGGTCATTTTCGGCTGTTTTCAACCGTCAAATTGAAAATCCGAGAGCGTTTGTCTCGCGTGTTCTTTGCGCTTTTCCAGTTACGGTACAATCAATGGTTCAACTCCCAGAGCGCATGTTGCAAACAAACCAGAACCTTGCAAGCATCTTCTAGTCCATGACATCGCCATGACTGGTCCAATGAACAAAATGAATGAAAACGCTGCTACCTATTATGCTATCAAAAGCTGTTCACGATTACATGCGCCTGTCCTGTTTTTTAGTTGGGACGATGCTTCCCAGTTTCTTCACAGCTCCACGCTGTCTTCCACAGAATACGCCGAGTTCGATGATATGTATCATGCTCTGGAATACATGAGCAGCAGCGACAGCTCTAATGAATCTCCTATTGCTCAAGAAGCGATACCAGCTGTTTCCACAAGCTGTGTCGCCCGAGCTGCTCATTGTTATAATAATACTTTCCAGAGACCAGCTGAAGTGTGGAAAGCCACTACGAAACGATCACTCCCAGAGAGTGAACGACGCATCAAACGACGTAAACGGAATCGTATAAAAGATGATCTATGCGCCACCACAAAGGCCCTGAGTGCCCTCAACTTTGACCGAAGCAATGGCAATCCCATGCTGACAAAGAATAACAGCAACAACAGCACCATGAACAACGAGTTCTTTTTGTACACTGGACAAATACACGACGACATACCCAAAACAGTCACTTATGTTCGGACGCAAACATCGTTAGACTTTATTCCAGAAAGTACCTTTCGGGATCTAAAGCAGTTGGGGACTGTGGAAATTCAGAAACCGGTTCGAGTGATTGGACGTAGAGCCTTTTTTTCGTGTCGATCGCTTACAGAAGTATCCTTACCTTCCACTGTCAAGGTAATTGGTGATCATGCCTTTCGATCATGTTTTCCATCCGGCTCTTTAGCGCTTCCAGAAGGATTGGAAACGATTGGAAAGTGGGCCTTTCGACAGTGCGAGTTTAGGTCCATGAGAATCCCGGATTCGATTGAAGAAGTTACCGAAGCCTCCTTTTCCAACTGTTCCAAGTTGCTGTCCTGTGAAATATCCGAAAAAATGATTCGAATTCGAGATGGGGCCTTTTCGTATTGCCAACGATTAAGGAATATTGCTATTGGCAAGAACACCAGAACCTGCAAACGTGGTGTATTTGGTGGTTGCCAGGATTTGCTTGACCTCTTCCACTCGGAGGATGCCTTGGTGGATGCCTTGAAGCACCGTTTCGATGCACTGCCCTTGCACAAAACATGCTATTACCAGAGTTTCTCGGAAAATGTGGAGATTGTTCAAATGTTGGATATGAATTCGGACGATGGATCGAAACAGGATTGCCTTGGAATGACTCCTCTGCACATTCTAGCCCTCTCCTCCAGACAGGATATTCAAATGTACCAAAATGTGATCGAATGCTCCCCCAGTGATCTTGTGACCCTTGATAGATGGGGCGAAATTCCATTGAATTATGCTTGCCACAATGATATTCCAGTTGATATTCTCCAATGCATGCTAGAAGGTCACCTGTCAATGTTTCATACGGAACATATAATCTGGGGAAGGTTGATCGATATATTGTGCTCCATTGGAGCGTCCCGAGAAAAGTTTCAGCTGGTACTAGAATCCCAACAAAGATATTCGCCCAATGAGAGACTCGATTGGGCTAAGATCTTGGAGACAACATTGCATATGAATGCTAACCCTGAAACCACTAGGTTTCTCTTTGAATGTAGCATTCATCGACGATTGAAACAATTGGGGCTTGAAAAGTGGAGGTCGAGTGTGATCAATGAAGTGGCACAAATTGACGACTTCTCCAATCGACAAGCATGCAATGAGGTCGTGCACGAGAAGCTAGTAGAGATGGAGCGCAGGGAAATTCTTTCGTTGGTGGAACAATCAGTCTGGAAAGATAGAATGATGGATGGTGGCGAAGACAGTATGAAGATTGGATATCAAGAGGAAGAACCATCTGCGACTCGAAGCAATCCTTATTGGCGGGAACTCTGTCGCGTCAAGTGTGGTGCAGATATAGTGGTATCCAATGTACTTCCTTTTCTGGGGAATTACCTTCAGCAACACCCAAAGAAGTGAAGCAGACTGACTCCTACCAGAATTTATTCACAATGACACAGTTTCCTATATAAATTACAGTATGTTCTAAAACAATATTTTGTTCAATCGCTGATTTCAACAAGCGGCAGATGTGCTATCAAGGATATCGGTATTGTATCTGGTACCATGTACACGTACAATGGTGCTTTTGTATCGTCACAAAAAAGCGACAGAAACATTTATGAAAGACATTTGACACGTGACATATTGGTATGTTGGAAGTTGTCAAACGTAGCGTGTCAACCCAAGAGTAATATAGGACAGATATTGGTTGTAGCACGTAACGGGAATGTGCTTTCAAAACCATCTTTTGCTGCAATAGTATATCATTGGGAACATGTTTCCTCCAAACTCAGCCTTCATTACACCCTCGGAAAGCAACTCTTGCGTTTCATTTCTCAACTGTGGGGGACATTCGTCATTTCACGGAGCTGCACTTCCTGTCTTCAGTCAACGCAAGACAGGCGATGACAGCAGAGATGAAATGAAACCTATCGAGGACTACCTTGCTTCCGAAATGAATAAACTCTCTGTACAGGAACGGTCCAAAGCTCTCGACGATATCCATTGTGTCGGTGATGAGCTCGACGAGACCCCTGAAATGATTGAGAAATCCCTTGCAGAATTTGACGAAATGCTTCAACGAAAAAAGAATGTAATCTATGAGATGGCTGAAAACCAAAATAGAGAATATGTCGAGAATCCAGAGTTCCGATTAAAGTTCCTGCGATCCGATTTGCACGATGTCAGCAAATCGGTTCGTAAGATGCTGAATTTCCTGCAACACAAGGCAACGTATTTTGGAAACGAAAAGGTCACCCGTGACATCACGCTTGATGATTTGAATGAAGGAGACAAGAAGCTATTGTTGTTAGGCATCCAGCATATTCAGGAAGAAAGAGACCGAAGAGGCAGAGTCGTTCTCTTCTTTTTCAATCGATACATGGGTGTAGGCACGATTTATAATCATGTAAGGCTTCCGCTGTTTTTTTTGGTCTTATAGACTTCGGCGGCTTTCAAGAGGTCAACATGTTCCGTGTCTCTCACTGTGCTTCTATTTTCAACAGGCTCGGGTATCATATTATATTATGTTCAACATTCTTTCTCAGATTCCTGCCGTACAGAAGAAAGGGGTAAGAGATTTTTTTAGAGTGGACAATTGCTCTCTTTTCTGTTGTTGCTTAACCATCTGTCCCAATATTCACCTCACACCACAGATCGTCAATTGCTTCTACGATATCACAAAACAAGGAGAGAATATCCCAAAGCCTGGGATCAGCTTTATGCTATCGATCTCAGATTTTGTGAACTCCCTTCCTGTCCGCTTTACAGCAATGCACCATTGCCTGAGGGCTGGGAAAGATGCAAACGTCGCCTTGAACAAGTTTGTGCTTGGAACAATTTCTAAATTTGCCCCGTACCATGTCAGGGCTAGAACCCGCATACACTACGGCACAGATTTGGAACTTCAATATCAGCTCAAAGGGCACGGAATTCCAGTCCATCATACGTTTCCTGTGGATTCGAATGGGAACATGCGTGAAGACATTAAGAATGTTTGGTTCTATAAGCATCTTCAAGCCGTGGAAGGTCCCAGTGAAAAAGATCCAGACATAGAAGAGCATAACTGGGTCGATTTGCTAGAAGGGTATAACTGGGACGACTGGCCAATTGGAGATACTGATGAGAATGACGCAACATCTGGCCACTCGTCTCCAACTAGTCCGCCTCTCCAGGATATCCTCTTGGGGCGCGGGAAGCCGATCCAGAATCACTCTGGCAATGTCTGCTTTCGAGAGTATCTTAAACAGTTCAGTATTGAATACAACGAAGCACCACGGCATCTCAGGCGAACGGTTCGTCTCAAGATAAGAGAAGATCTGAAAAGAAGAGGAATTCGGTTCCTTCAAGAAAAGGATGGCAGATGGGTTGAATGTAGCGTAGCCGAAGCAGAGAAGACGATTGGCCAAGCCTTCCGGAATCAAAGAAAACAAAGCAGGAAAGAATAGTCTGCTTGTTTCACGACTTTTCCCTCTCACAATCTCAACCATTTGTGTGTACTCTACAGAATCGTTCGCTGTCTCCGGCCTTTGACCAGTGTACTAGTCAAGGCTGTTGCCTCAGGCAGTATTTGTAAAAGATATAACAAAGAAGTAGAACCACTTGCAAAATTTCACTAATCGGTGAACTTCGGAACCTTTCCTTTTGGCGATAACAAATAGAAAGGCAATGGTGCATTGCTGTAATGCGGACAGAAAGGGAGTTGATAAAATATGATATTGGCACAATAAAGGTGAGCCCAGGCTTTGGGGCCTTCTCTCCTGGTTTCGTGATATCGTAGTAACAATTGACGATCTGTGATTTGGTGTGAAGATTGAGACCAAAACTTAGCGACGAAAGATATAGGAGTGACCAATGACATTAATTTGCCTTACCCCCTTTCTTCTGCACAGCAGGAATATGAGCCAGTATATTGAACATAATGTAACATGTTTCTCGAGCCTGTTGGGATAGGAGACAGTAATGTGAGTGACACGCTACACAGTATCCCACCTTTTCAAAACCGCGAAAGTCTTACATGTGTATCGACCGTGCCTACCCCATATGCCGATTGAAAAGATACAAGATGACTCAGCCTCTTCGATCTCTTTCTTCCTTAATATGCTGTACGCCTGACAATAGCAGATTTTTGTCTTCGTCATTCAAATCATCAAGCGTGATATCGCGAGCAACCTTTTCGCTACCAAAATACGTTGCCTTATGTTGCAGGAAATTCAGCATCTGATGAACCGAGCTGCTGACATCGTGTAAACATGATCTCTGGATTCCAGACATATTCGCTATTTTGGTTTTCAGCCATCTCATAGATTACATTCTTTTTTCGTTGAAGCATTTCGTCAAACTCTGCAAGGGATTTCTCAATCATTGCAGGGGTCTCGAGCTCATCTCTGACACAATGCATATCGTCGAGAGCTTTGGACCGCTCTTGTACAGAGAGTTTATTCATTTCGGAAGCAAGGTAGTCCTCGATAGGTTTCATTTCATCTCCATTGTCATCGCCTGTCTTGCGTTGACTGAAGACAGGAAGTGCAGCTCCGTGAAACGACGACTGTTCCCCACAGCTGAGGAATGAAACGCAAGAGTTGCTTTCCGATGGTGTAATGAAGGCTGAGTTTGGAGGTAACATTTTTTGTCAATTGCTCTTTGCTTCCAAATAGTACGATGCAGCAGAATACCGGTAGAGACCGTAAACAAAGGAAAAGGTTTAGGCCCCATACGTTATTTGTTTCAGGATCATACTGTAATCTCACGTTTAAATAGCCCGATCGGCGGAATTTGAGACACTTCAAAGAACAGTTTTGTCTTTCTTGCTGACATTTTTCTTATTGTTTGGTGGTATGATTTTGGAAACAGTCTGGTAAACCTGGTCCCCTTCTCGTTGAAGAAACCTCTCCACTCCCTGTCCACCGTATGTAGGAATAATAGGCGACCGTTAAGTCATCTCCCATCATTCGCGCGATCGCGCAACAAGGAATGGTCCATACTGATTCGACCAACCAACAAATGTTTTTTTTGGAAAATACTGCCCATCATCAAACAACCAGTGCCATAAGCAATTAGGTCTACATTGATTAAGTTTATATACCATGGGATCGTCACGCAAGCGTTCATTGGATAGTTCCAATCATAGGCAAGTGGACCTGTCGGAGACTCCAAAATCAGCGAAAAAGCTGAAGACTGCAAGTATTAGTTCCCTGAGCTCGAAAAAACCTCTCAAGAATACACCGATTCCCGAAGCAGATTACGGACCACCCAAGAGCAAAAAGGAGCTTCGTGCCTTGAAAAAAGCAGCTCGCAAGAGCAAGGATGTGGGAAAAAATGAGGCAACACAATATGATGCTGAAGACAAAATTCTTTCCAAAGAAGAATACAAACAAAAGAAGCAACAGGAAAAAAAAGAACAACGCAAGGCAATGATGCAAGAGCTTCGAAAGCAAGAAAGAGAAAGCATAAAGATTCGTCAACAAAAGAAACTGAATCGAGAGCTTAATGCCCCAAAGTATAAGCAAGTCCAAGCGGAAGCAACAAATGAGCCAAAACATCAGCAACAATCAGAAAAGAAGAACAAGAAAAAGGCAAAGAAAACTGGTTCTGAAGAGGACGAACAAGATGTCGCTATGAAAGCATTGAAGCAGGTACTGCTTGGGACTACGGATGAATCTGGAATGACAACTACTACTCTTGGCGTGAAGTACAAGGATGTTGTTGTTGGGACTGGCGATGAAGTTCGGGAGAAAAAATTGGTGACAGTCCAGTACCAGCTCAAGGGAGGCAAGTTCAAAGCCGTTTTGGACAGCTCGAAAAAGTTCAATTTTCGAGTTGGAAAGGGAGAGGTCATTCAGGGCTGGGATATTGGTCTTTTGGGGATGCGAGTGGGAGGCCGAAGGCAGCTGATCGTTCCTCCGAAGGCTGGATATGGCTCGCAAGACATAGGTGCAGGTCCGGGGGGACTCTTATACTTTGATATTACTTTGTTGGCCCTTCGATGAGGAATCACTTGCCTGATAGTACGCACTAGACTGATGTGAATCTGTTCAATCAACATCAAGCCTTTCATACGATGATCCAATTTCAGTGCCGTGAAGGGCCGAAGCAATTGTATAGCTTTCATAACATTTTAGAATTCTATTGCTACTGGTTTTTTTTCAAACACAACAAGACTCTCCACATGCTTGGTTTGTGGGAAGAGGTCAAACGGTTGAACAGAGACGATTTCATATCCTCCAATTTCGACAATTCCTTTGGCATCTCTCGCTTGTGTGGCAGGGCCACAGCTCATGTACACAATTCGCTCCGGATTGTAGTCATACAGTTGTTTGAGGAACTCTTCTGAGCATCCTTTACGAGGTGGGTCCACCACAACAACTGTCTGGTCTCGTGGAAATTCATTCACAGCAATCTCTCGTTTTGCTGTTGTTGTATTTCCCGCGTCAATGTCGCCGTTATTGTCCCCACTGCTTGGTGGCTCGTCACTTGACAATTCGATTTTTGGTGGGCTCGTAAAGATGGCTTCCGCACTGGCTGCCACAAAGTGACAGTTTGAAATGCTGTTCATCTCAGCGTTCACATAAGCTTCTTCGATCGCTTTTTCATTCAATTCAATTCCCACGCAAGCGTCAAAGGATGAGGCTGCACTCAAGGCAAACAAGCCAGAACCACAGTAACAATCCAGCAAATAGGATGGGGGAGTGCCCTTCTTGGTCGGTTGTGTTGCAGCCTTGACGACGGCATCCACCATGAGTGGAATCACAAAGTTGTTGACTTGGAAGAAGTTACCAGCCAAGTATCGAAATTTTAGGTCCTTGATCGTTGTTGTCATGTATTCCTTGTGGTCTGTCACTACGACTGGATTGCCATTTTCGTCATCATCTGCATGCCGGAACAGCAATGTCGCGCCAGTAGCACCACCTCGACCTCCTCGCTTTCGTTTCTTCTGTTTCGTCGGTTTGTTCAATTCACCAATCTTAGCTTGTTTGTGCAAGTGTTCTCGAACTTCCTTATATTTGGCATTGATTGCTGGTGTGGCAATGGGACACTCGGGAACATCCACCAAGTTGCGATTTGATGACCTTTGGAAGCCAATCTCTTCCAATTGGTATTCGTCGAGACCAATCTCTCTAGGAGCTTGATAATGCGGTGTGATTTTGCTGCGGTATCCATATACGTCATCCGTACCAACTGTGGGCAGGACCTCCCATGTTTTGCCGTAATCAGCACTCTCATAGCCTTGAATTTGTTGTTGAGAAAGCACCTCTTCGACATGTTTGGTCTTCCATTCTCGCTGAGCTTCAAGAGACATGTGTTGGTATTGGCATCCTCCACAGGTTCCCGCCAACGGACATTTCGGTTCGACCCGATGGGCGCTTGGTTCCAGCACTTCGATCAAATCAGCTTCGCTGTAGTTCTTTTGATTGCGAAAGATTCGGACTGATACCAGTTCTCCCACAACCACATGTGGTACCATGACAACCCACATGCGACTAGGAGCATCCGTTTCAGAACCATCACCACCACCAACTTCGGTAACAATTTCTTCTTCGCTTTCGTCATCTTCAATTGCAACACGACCGATACCCCATCCCATATTTGTCAAAGAATCAATTCGAATCGTTATCACTTGATGATATTCGAATGGCTTTGGAATAAACCTTCTGGGAGGTGCGGGTGTCTTCTCGGCACCATTATCATCCGCTGTTGTGGTAGTAGTTGTCGAGACTGTGTTCTCGTCAGGTGACGCCAGAGAGGAATATACGGCTATTGTCGGCGTATTTCGTTGCTGGAATCCTAGTCTTGCTGCTCCTGTTATTCTGTTTGATGTTGTAGATGATGTGGATGGTGATATGTAGGATATAGTGGTGGAATAAGGTGGTCCTTGCAGTACACCAGCCTTTCGAGCAACCGGCGCCATAAATGACCGTTGAAAGGCAGCTGTCGCCCGTGTCATGATCGACACCGTCATTGCAAGTAATAGAACTGTAGCCGACCAGTTTGATATGGATAAAAATCTTCTTGCGGAAACTCTTGAAGGATTCGCCATTTCCCAAATCAATGCTCTAGAACTCCACCAACAACACAGGATGATGATGCGGTGCACTTATTGTTGTGTTGTGTTAGACTGCTATTGTTGAATCAAAGACGTATTTTGCAAGAGAGCAGACTTTTCGAGATGAAGGCGGAGAAAAATAGGCTTATTGCAGTGGGAGTACTCGTACTGGTTTCGGAGTTCGAGCGACCCTCACTACTGTACCAGGTACTGATAGTGATGATGTTTTGAAGAACAAGATTTGTTGATGGGTCGGAATCCGTTCCCGTACGAATGACGGACTCACGACGTTGTTGTTGTCTCTCATCTGACATCGAATGCGAATCATCATCACGAAGAAAGAGTCGTCCTTGAAGGATGACCGTCCTTTTAGCATGATACCGAAAACAAGCAATAATAGTCAACAATTTTTAGTGTATCGATTGCACTCTTTTTATCAAATTTATCTGAATACGTTTTCTATCGCTATAGCAGTGAACATCCCCTAATCATGAATAATTATGATTGAATGAGAAACACATGATCCTCTGATCGCAAGTACAGAAAGGTTGTTTTCTGCACATTGCAATTAGTTGCTCTTGAGAGTTGACATGTCCTCGGGGCGACGGTCGTCGGTACCGCCAGTGACCTTTGTCCACTTGTTTCCATCAGGAAAGACAATGCCATTATCGTACGAAGCTTTCAAGTTTTGAGGGCCTCCCTTGGGAGAGAAGTCAATGACAGCATCCGTTTCCGACAAAAGCTTTCCTTGAATCTTCCACAAATCAGGTCTGGTCGGGCGGTCTGTGCACATTGCGCCGTTTCCCTTGCCATCATATCCGGTCACTTCTACGACAGGATATTTAGATCGGGTTCCATCCGCACGTAGAGGGGCACCAATAACCTTAACTTGACGCAGACATCCTGGGTGGTTTGGATCATCGTAGTCTCCAGTGAAAGCAGAAGCGGCGCCAGTCTTCATAGCGGCTTGTGCGTCAGGGGCTCCAGTGGCAAGGATGGCAGCAGCACCGGCGGCTTGACCGAACCATTGACGACGGTCCATTGCCGAAAAGGCATTTGCTGTTGTGGCCAAGATGAACAAAAGGGAAGCTGACTTCATTTCTTTTTAAAATTGAGTAGTTGTGTCTGTGTAGTGTGTAATTGCAATAAATTGTGATTCAGAAGGGGGTGTTTTTCCTGTCGACACATGTGACATGTGACGGTGTTGTTGGCGCTGATGGACACATTGACTGAGTCAGGCAGGCGGGTATCTTATTGAATCATCTGATCGGAAAGCGGTACGATAAGGTTACTGTAGTCGACGCAGTCTATTCAATCGACTCATCCGAATATGTACGTTCGTATGTCCTTCATCCAAAGTTATTTGAATCGGATTTTGGTTTCTCTCGTTTGCACCATGTCCCATTCCATTCTTGGTCTATTTGTCGCTTTGTTGCAGTCGCTATTGAAGATAATTGCACAGAAACTGAGATTGTATCTTCAATTTGTAAGATAGAGCAGTAAGAAATACTAAGAGATCGCCCCAAACTTGGCGAAATAGGTCGGTATTCCGAAAACAAACACAACCATATTTATCAACAAAAAATGACCACTTCCAATCCTTCCTTTGTGGCTCGGCGATATCTGATGCTATGGACGTCGATAATAGCGGGCTGTCTGTTGATTCAGCAGTGTGAAGCTTCCTATGTCGTCAAAGTGGAACCTTACGACGAACAGTGTTTCTACATTGCTCCATCGACACATTCCACGATTTATGGCGATTTTGAGATGCTAGAGGACGGTCTGAGCCCCAAGCCAATATCAGTATTAGTAACTGATGCCCAAGATAGCCGAACTCTGTATCGAAGTCGGACTAATGTTCGTAAGGGAAGTTTCAAAGTAGAGGCCAATCCCAGAGAGAAAATTTACATTTGCGTTCAAAATGGGTTGGTAGCAGCCGGCAACAAGAACATTCAACGCAAAGGCAAGACGAAATCTGACGGGTTACCACGACTTGTGGGATTGGATATTAGTGTGGAAGAAAGGGATCTGCATGATGAAATTCATCAAACGCACTCCAAGATCTTGAGCAAAGCTGTAATGTTGTCCAAAGAGCTGACCAAACTCAAGAATCACCACGAGTACATGAGAGCCAGAGAAGCAAAACATCGAGAGACTGTGGAACACACTTTTTCCAAGCTACTGGGCTGGGCATTGGCACAGGCTTCGGGTGTTATTTTAATTGCAGTGGGTCAAATCCTGTATTTGAAACGGTTCTTGGAGCGAAGGCGCTATATGTAGTTCCGAGAAACAATGGTGGTAGTACCCCTGCAGATTCAATCGCACGAATGCATCAATCTGGTGTGTGAAATAAGAACTATCTCTTGACTTGACGGTATTTACTGCCTCGAACATCTATTTGCTCTGTCAAAAAGAAGCTAACTTCGTTAGATAGCACCAGTCCTGCAAGTTCAAAATCGAGTGAAATGGTGTAGATCAAATGCTCGGATGTATTGCATATACGAGTATAGCTGCAATAGTAATAGAGTTTCAACGGTCATATGTTTGAGAAGTTCCAAAAGGATATTATTGATGCCCGTTGGTGCATGATGCTGTGAAACCTATTAGAGCTCCAATCCCAACGTTGCTTCCTTTTCCATTCTTTCTGCGATCCAGGTTGTGACTATTTCGTCGGCAGGTATCAATCCCTCTGCCATTTCTTCCGGCAAATAGAATGCATAGTCAGATTGCAAGTATTTGTGAAGCTCTGCTTCTGGAATCCGATGGATCTTTTCCAGAAACTCTTTCGACAGGGTTGCTTTCATCAATTTGAAGACGGAATGAAAGCCCCCACTTTTTGGAGGATTGACAATCAACACCATTTCGATTCTCGCTGGTACGACGGTCCCCTCTAGTATTCTCATGAATTGAACCCAGTAAGTCTTGGAAAAGTTCTTTGGTTCCCAACCGTCCATGTTGATTAGGAGACCTGCCAGTCCACATACAGTACATATATGAGAGATTGGATTGAATCAACCATTTGTTGTTATCCACAAAAAAGGGCAGACACGGCCAATCAAAAGACGACGTACCTATTCCATGAGTGCGATTCCTTGTATGATTCTCCCTCATTGATTTTATAACGTAAACCAAGTTCTCAACAATAGTCTCCTCATTATCAGCTGTCGGGACAAATCTCGAAGGGTTCATGTAGAACATGGCGTGATCCTCAGAAGACCTCAACCCTGGTAGCGGGAACAGAGTTTGTGTTTCAAGCTGAGGCAAGAGATCCTTTGCTTTCAGGCTCCAGTTGTGGGGGTCATATCCACGAATGACGTCCCAGGCAGTTTTGCTGTTGTAGGGCTTGCCGGGAGAGCATTGTGCAAAATGCAAGATTAATTCATCATTGACAAAGCGCCCAATGTTTGCCTCCTCAACTTGTGATTTCAATCGACAGTAGCACTGATATTCGTTGTTTTTCAAGCGAATGAGTTGATCTTCCAAAGAAAGTTGGCTTCCTTCTATCTCAGGAGATTCACTGAAGGAGTCATCGCCACCACCCAGTCCACTGAGACTGTTCAAGCTGCTGTGAAGACTTCCCGCCAGACTTCTTACAAGGGAAGCGGCAGAATCGTGTAGTGCACTCATGATGTCAACTCTTTTTTAAAAGATGAAGAATGATAGATTCGTTGGTCTTCGTCTCTCTCGTTATGGCAGATGTGGGATCTTTCCGTTTTCTCGAAAAGAATAAAAGTGTTTTCGGTAGGCGGAATGTCGACGCACATCATATCGCGGATGTATAATTTGCTTCCCACAAGTTTCACCGAAAATGACCGGGAGTCTGTAGTAATGCAGAGGTAGGTAGCAGATTTGGCACAGTAAAACCTACTGTTGTAATAGCAGTTGCAGCATGTATATTCAACACTCTTACTAATACATGTAATTAACTGCTGATTCCTATTCTGCACGTTTTCGTTTGGTTGCCAGTTGTCCACAAGCAGCACTCTCTTCGTCCCCCCGTGTAGTTCTGATGAAGCATTTGAAGCCTCTCGAGGTCAACCGTTCTTGAAAGGCCCAGACTCGTTCTACCTTTGGCTTTCGAAACTTTTGAAATCCAATATCATTGAATGGAATCAAATTTACCATTGGTTTCATCCCAGGAACTTCGTCAATCATTTCTTGCACAAATTGAGCAAGATGATCAGCGTCTTCCACTGAATCGTTGATTTTATCAATTAGAACGACCTCCAGCATGGTTGTTCGTAGTTTCATAGGGCGGCTCTTCAAGGCATCTAGATATCCCTGTCGTAGTTCGTTCATTGAATATTTGGTTGTCGGGACGAGCTCTTTGCGTAATTCAGGAGTCGTGGCATGAATACTCCATGCCAGGGTAGTATTGGCCCGTCCCAGTTCCATGAATGCATCTGGTGTTGGCGCAACCGTAGAAATGGTCACCTTTCGCTGAGCCATGCCGAATTGATCTTGGCTGGTCAATACGTTCGCTGCTCGGACAACATTTGCTGCATTATCACTGTATTAGGGAGAAAAGAAAAGTTTTGAGTTCCACTGTCATACAAGCAGTCGGGCAGATTGGACGAAAATGCAATCAATGAACGTACGCTGGTTCCCCCATACCCATAAATACCACACCATCAACTGGGTTGATGTCGAGGACTCTACAGACTTTTCGAGCAAGAAATACTTGGGCACAAATTTCATCGGAAGATAGATTCTGGAGTCGCCCCATCTTCCCCGTCGCACAAAAGGTACATCCTTGAGCGCACCCCACTTGAGATGAAATGCAGAGCGTGGATCGACCAGTTTCTTCCCATGGAATGATCACTGTTTCGACATCAAAGCCACTTTCGACCAAGCGCACCAGCAGTTTTGTCGTCCCATCACGGGCCATAGAGATATCTCTGATCGTCGCTACCGATTCTTCGATAGATTCGCCTCCGACTTTTCTTAGAGACTCAAGAGCTGCCTTTCCCAGTCCTTGTTCACGTCGTTTGGCAGTGATAAGCATCTTCAATTCATCTCTGGTCCATGATTTGGCTTCTCTTCCTTGTTGCTTCAAAATTTTGTGTACAGAATCATCCAGCTGTGAGTCAGCTATCGATTCATCATAAAACCATAGTGGATCAATACCCATTCGGTAGCACTCCCACACCGCTCGAGATCGACCAATTCCTCGTTCTAAAGACACAGTCAGGTCATCGAATTGAAAGGAGAGGGGACTTCGAATACGTTCCGATTCTTTTATCTTAGTTGGAATCTTTGGAGCCTGTTCTAAAAGTGCAAAGTTGCATCTTATGAAAGCCACTAGAGCCGTGAGAAACAAGGCTTTTTGGCAAACCATCGTTGCAATATAAATGATGATGGTGTTTTGAATGTCCCGAAGATTCTGATGTCAATGGTGATAAGGGAAGTCGGATGAGTCCACTTAGACTGAAGTAGTTCCTTTAGTATCGTCCGTCATGCGACAACCAAACCAGACGACCAAAGAAAAAAACATGATGTGATCTTGATGGGATTTTGAACTTCGAACAAACTTCATTGGAAACCAAGACAAAGGACGCCATGAAAGGCAAAATCCCTGAAGTTCCTGTTCGACGAACAACAGCAGATGGTACTGTAATCCCTATCAGGTTTGTAGACAAACCATTTCCGTATCACTATGAACTCAAAGTCCGGATCGATTCTTGGAATGACATGGGTTGGGGACTCGGCCATTTGGAAGACGACTCGGAAACTCTTCCCGAACATCCTGAGAATTGGGGTGTCAGGGTACCAATGGTACTTCCTGGGGAGCTGGTGACCGTGAAGGTTTTTAAGAATATGGACGACTACAGCGAAGGTGAGAGAACTGATGTGTTGCGGACATCTTTAGCTGCCGCAAATTTTTTCTACTATAGTAGATACCAGAAGAAGCCTGACAATTCTGATCGTTGCATGAATCGTGTCTCAACCCATATATTCCCCTCGCTTTAGGCGACTTGGTCAATGTATTGGAGCCATCTGAAGATCGAATTGAGCCTCAGTGTCCTTTGGCCGGAAAATGTGGGGGATGCCAATTCCAACATATGAAGATTGAAAAGCAACGAGAGTGGAAGTCCAATTTTGTCACCAAGGGTCTGGTGGAACATGAGATCGAGGGATACAAGGGTATAGATGACATTAGTGCCAAACTTTTGCCTGTGGCTGGAACCGATGAAATCTATGGTTACCGCAGCAAGATCACACCCCACTACGAAGCCCCGACTAAAGTAGGAGACGACGAATACGAAATGGAAGAAATTGGATTCCAGCAATTCATGACAAAGCGATTGGTGGATGTGGAAGAATGTCCCATTGCCACACCAGCTATCAATGCCAAGTTTAAGGAGACGAGAGTCGAACTGCACAAACAAGCAAAGGAGGGGCTCTTGAACAATCGAAAGAAACGCAAACGACATCGTCGATCTAGGAACAAGGAACTAGGAGCTACTCTCTTGTTCAGACATGCCGATGATGATGAAAATGGGAATCCAGTGGTTGTGACAGACAATAAGGAATACATGACAACTACTGTCAAGGGAATCAAGTTTCGCTATGTTGCTGGCAACTTTTTCCAGAATAACAATTATGTTCTACCTCTCATGGTGGATGGAGTTCTATCAGCGGCTCTAAAACCCTCGGCTTCTGGGAAGGTACCATCGCACCTGATTGATTGCTATTGTGGGTCGGGTCTCTTTGCGTTGAGCGCAGCGTCCAACTTTCAATTGTGTGTTGGAATTGAGGTACAAGAGAAAGCCATCGAGGAGGCAACCTTTAATGCCGAAGCGAACAATATCAAAAACTGTCAATTTGTTGCGGCCAGTGCGGAAGCAATATTCGCCAGTCCTCACAAAGTGAAAATGGAAAATGGCGAAGAGCAAAGCGTCAGCGATTTCCCAAGAGACCAAACGGTCGTGGTTGTTGATCCACCCCGAAAAGGATGTTCTGGTGCATTTTTGGAACAATTGTATGCATACAGTCCCCAGCGAGTGGTATACATGAGTTGTGGACCAGCAACACAAGCGAGAGACGCAAAAGGACTCGTGGAGGTTGGGGGATATGAAATCGTCTCCATCCAACCGTTTGATCTTTTCCCACAGACGAAACATATTGAGTGCCTCATGGTTTTTGAGAAACGATAAGAATAGATTCGACCTTTGGCATTGCTTGATTTTGTGTTCTTGTTTTGTCTCAATTATTGAACGGAATGCGGCCATTATAGTGGCATAGTAAAAGAAGCTCTGTTCACAAGACCATCCTGTCCTATCTCGTGCAAGGAAGGCCGACGCGAATGACGTTTTCGATGCATTGGACGAGCTTCTGGTTCACCCTTGGCCTTTTCAGCGTCTGAGTTGAATGAATGCATCGTTGTCTTAACGGCCGCTTTCAGCTTATCCACAGCCTGTTTTCTCTTTCGTTTGTCTTTATCGAATCGTAGTATAAGCATGCTCAAAGTTCCTAGTCCCAACAAAGCACAAGTCAAGAACAAGGCTCTCGTGTTTCCAAGTGACTGCAGGCAGACGAAGACAACGGCAACAATGGCATTCGTCGGGAATTGAAACAGAGTGAGCAAAAGCTGTAAGTTCCCATTGCCATAGTGATTGCATCGCAAGATTCCAATCGACGGAAAATAGGCACCAACACATCCTTCGAATATCAGAAATGCGGTAGTCAGCTGAATCAAGTGTTGTGTCCCATTGCCCTCTGGATCGAAAGTCGCTACAGAGTATGCTGCCAGACACATGGATAGCGTTGCACACAACATGAGTGAAATCATGGAAACATTGAATCCAAATACTCTTGACACTTCGCCAAAGAATAGACCGCCGACCAAGCAACTGCACATCATACACGAGAAGATACTACCAAAAGGAGTTTTTGTCTCTCCATAAACAGCCTTGATAGCAGCATTCATCGTAGGAGGCCATAATAATACAAAAATATTCATGGCGGACTCGAAGAGCATTTGGATACAGCCAACCAAAAAGACATTGGAGTTTGTCATGACCTCGCTCTTGAAAACACTCTTCAATGTCTCCCGATCTTTTTCCTGCTTGGTTGTTTCAGTATCATTTTGAATCGATGGACCATTCCATAGCAGCAAAATCATCCCAATTGCTGCTCCCAAGATCAGTGGCTGAGCTTCAAAAGGCCCCGTTGGCCCTCGATAAGACGCAAATACTCCAGCCAGCTTCCCTGCAAGAATTGCCAGAATAGGATCAAATTGAAATGCCCGTCCAAATATTGCACGAAGCCAAACTACGGAGGCATCTTTGTCCTTCCGTTTAGCTTCAGCTACAAGCCATGCTTCTGGAGCACTGCTCATTAACGAGCTACCAAACCCACCGAATGCCCTTCCAAGAAACATAATTGGCAGGGAATTGGAGCAGAGTGACAATCCACCGATACCGTAGAAAATCGCCGCGATTATGCTCCCGACTTTCGGTCCTTTTCTCGACAAAAAGTCACCAGCCAACGGACCAAGTATTGGCGTAGATATGTATCCAACCAACGCAATTTGAGAAATAGTAGACACTGAGAGAGGATTGCCATTTTGCATCTTGGATGCACATGCCGAGTAAAAGTATGGACCACTCATCCAGAAGGAGGTTCTTAAAAGCCAAAATACGGAGAGAAATTTGGTTTCGAGCTTGTCAATGGACACAGGTCTGCTCCGTTTCCTCTTGTTGCTCTTGCCCGTCCACCGAAGCGCCCATTGGGTCAAGTCCGGCAGCTGAAATGCGAATGCTGCACTACCGAGAAAAAAGAGGACGGATTGAAACAGCGCGTCTGGGTCTTCGACGCTCCACAGCCCAGTTATATCGAAACTGATCATTTGACAGCTCCAGAAGTTCACAAGTGAGACAGCAGTGTTGTGATCTTCTGTGCTTTCTGGCGGATTATATATTGTACTGCAAAGTTTTTGTTCTTGGCTTTTTGACACGTGACAGACGTCATTGCACTACTGTCACTAATATAATACCGCTAGTTGCGATGCGCGATGAGCGACTATGTAAAAAGAAGTACTGTAGGTATATATAATAACTCTATTGAATTTATTTAGTCTATCAATTGAACGATGTATAACAATCTGTGCAACAATCTGTGCAGCATATTCATGGCAAGGACTCGTGTCCTGCTGGCATAGCAATGGTAGGTTGCCTCATTTTAATAGTGAAGGTTGTATCCGATACTGAACGAATCATCCAAGTGGTTGGAAACTGATGGTGACTTGTCCAAACCTCCAAGATAGGATGGAAATGCTACCAACTTATGGGTACTCTTCGTCCTTAGAGGACTCGCAAACTCATTGGGGCTCGCCAGCAAATTGGAAGAATGCAAACCCTTGGTGTGGAAGCTTTGTCTTCGAATGAGATTGCTTTGTGAAAAGACTTGCGGAATGAGCGCAAAGCTTTCAGTGTATTTGAGGTACTCGTCATCTCCCATGGGCCGAAATAGGTACAGCTTGATGGGATCCACCACTAACATTTCAAATGCTGGATAAATGGCACATGCCCATCGAATCACTCGGGCGTATCCTGCTGCTCGAAAAGCATCCATCGAACAGTGTATCAGATGTGGAAGCTTGTCGGGCAAGGTTGGGTGATCCAAGACCTGGACCAGTGTCCCGGGCAAAATGCAGCGGTAAAAGAATGGTTTTGGAACAACGATGCCATTGGCATCTAGTTCTCCTGTGAAGAACCATACAAAAATGTCCAAAAAGCACACAATATCAATGCCCGACTCGAACATCTTGCCAGATTGCAGTACTAGCCGTGCTGCGGGATTAGTGGGGTAGCATTCGGCCAGTTCCACATTTCTGATATTCAAGATTTTCCCAACGAACCGTCGAACTGGTGTCCCTCTTTTAGTCATGATACGGAAGCGTTCCATCATGACCTGATCACACTCCACCAGCAGAGAGGATATCATTTGCGTCAATGATACTCCAAAGGTCCCTGAAAGGTGCCAGGACGCATAAAGTCGAAACAATTCGGATAGAAGCGCAACTGTGACGATGACCCGCCATCCAACACTGAATCGTGTATGAGGCGACACCAAGTTCGAGCTCATCAGCGCTGTAATGACAGTAGTGGTCAGTTCTTGTCGCAAATCAATAATCTGATCGTACAGTTCTGAAGAGGGTACAGAAATGGAACCACGTCTGCCAACGTTTCGTTTCAAGACGTCGATCCGATGCCTGAGCTTTTGGGCTTGTTGCCGCTTTTCAACAATTGCGTTCCTGAGTCCGAGTGCTTGCATCTGCAGGTGAGATGGAATGCTGGAAAGAGCGGTGTTGAGTTTGGCAAGCGATTCAATCTTTCTGATATCCTCGAACATCATGGACCGTTCCGCCAAGCGCTTTCTTTTTTCAATTTCTGCTTGCAAAGATTGTCGCCAGGTCGAGGAAAATACCCAGAATTGATCCTGAAGTTTTAGGAGTACTCGTAGCAGTGGACCTGCATATCGAAGGTAGCGAAACCATCGGGATAGTTTTCGTATTCGCTTCCACAATCGCAATGGCTGCCGCAGGGAACCCCAAGGAAGGATTGTCCTTCGAAGGAAGTCTATCAATTCACTTTTTACCGTCTCCATAAATATTGACATATGAGTTATCGACTGAGTGATCCAGATGGTGGCAAGAGCCGGGTCATTGCCACATCCATCGTGGTTGCCTCTCCAAAAGTTGATCCATGGAATCAAAATGAACCACGAAAACAAGACAGACATCACAGGAGTCCATGCTCTTAGATGATTTCTAGCTAGCTCGAGATCGTGGTGCCCCTGATCGTAATCAGCAATCCCTGGTTGTTGCCGAAAGACTCCAGATCGAGTCGTGGCATACAGCTTTGCCAGCTTTTTCTCAAAATTGTCCAGAGCCGCAGTTTCAAAGGCAATCTGTCGTGCTTCCTTGGCTCGAATCATTGCTTCTATCAGACAGCAGAAACAAAAGGTGATGCTGACCGCACCCCACATCGGATGCGCTGAACAAGTTTCATCGTCTGATGATGATGAACGTTCACCGTCTATTTCATCTTTATGTCGATTGAGAACGAAGCCTAGAAAGTTCTTCTTGTCGTGATTATGATGATCAGAAGGAGTGACACCTTCACCTTCGTACCATCCTTCTACTAGAGCCGACAAACAGAAACTGATGTCCAAGATAGCACAAGCAGCAAAAACAATTTTCCAGACGGACCGACTCCAGTCTTTCCATCTTTCTGTTGGCATGATTCAGCCAAACAATGACATCAATCGATCACGTCCTCCCGTGATAAGTCGGAGTTAGAACATAGATGCGGTACCTGGTACGGTACGTTTGTTGACACCGGCATCTGAGAAGAAATATTTAGATCCGGTGGTTTGATTCGTTCGACTAACGTTGGACTGACGTTTTTATTGATACATTCTGAGAATAATGAGAGGCGCATCGCACCCATCACTTTACTGTCTTGTGGCTATTGTCTGTCTTTTCAATCTCTACAAATCATACAAAGTCGGTAGACCATAAGAAGCCTATCGACTGAACATGACTAACTCGAAATTTGGCCTAGTCGTCGTTGGATGCGGCCAAATTGCCACTCATCACATGGATGCAATTGCTTCACGTCTTGGCGATGGTGCCATTCAGCTGCGAGCGCTGTGTGATCCTTCCGAAGAACGGCGCAACGTCTTGGCCAACTTGCCTTCGAGTCAAAAGCTTAGTAGCAACGAAACCGTCAAACAATATTCTACCTTTGACGATCTCATTGCCGACTCGGATTTCTTTCAACAGACAATTGACATAATTTTCATTGCCGTTCCACACGATCTGCACGAGAAATTGGCACTCCAAGCGTTGGCCCAAAACAAGATTGTGGTGCTAGAAAAACCTCTGGCACCCACATTGGATTCTTGCAACAAATTGACCGAGGCCTCTTTGGCGCTACAAAAAGATGGGCCCAATTCCAAAGAGGGTCCCATGCTCATCGTGGCCGAACAATCCCCGTATTGGGAATCGGTGGCGTTAGCGCGTGAAATGATTGCTGATGGCAAGATTGGGCGTCTAGTCACAGCTTCTGCTTATTATTATGAGAGTATGAGGGACAATATTACGAGTGGCAGTGTGGATTCTACTGGTGGTCTTGGTTGGAGAGGCTCCATTGCTCGCGCAGGAGGTGGCATTGCCATTGACGGTGGCTTGCATTGGATTCGGCCATTGCGGGAACTGCTGGGACGTATCGACGAAGTAGTAGCGGTCACGAGATATGGTCTGGCTCCTGAGCTGGGAATGGAAGGAGAAAGTTTGGGCCATGCCATTTTCAAAATCCAACCAGCCCTTGAAAGCAGTAGTCCACTTGCACAACCGAATGAGTCTGGTTGTCTGACGGCTACATATTCTTGTAATATGCTCTCAACAGCTCCCATGGCACACGACATGTGCCCCTACTTTCGAGTGACGGGGACCAAAGGGGAATTGATCATTGGAGGCGACGGTTTGGCAAAGGAGAAACCAGGTGCTGGCGGATTGAGGCTATACGACGACGAGAGTCCTACTGGCAGAGACATGTTACCGACAGATCGACTGGGCGGCTTCTTCTTGGGCTTTTCTGGACTTTGGCAAGAGATCTATCGGATTTGTATCGAGAGGGATGTGACCAAAGCTCACGAGACGGTGGTACGAGCCGCAGACGATGTTCGAACGGTTCTAGCCATGTACAAGAGTGCCAAATCTGGTAATTGGGAGTCAACTCAAATATGACAGCACTGAGCGGGTGGTAGCAGATAAATAGTTAAATAGTTCAACTGCAGCTTGAAACTGGTGTCTATACGCATCTCAATCGATTACATAATAATGGGGGCTGGGCAACTGGGTACCAAACGTTCGTCATCCTGATGAGACAGAACATCAAGGCGACGGATTTGCTTGACCTCATCCAACGGATAATAGGTACCTGGTTTTCAATAGGAGCATGACATGTTACTATTCATTATTACCGCACTTAGCGGAACGAAGATACCGCAGTTCTTCTATCATGCTCTTTACCCTGTCCAATCGATCGGCTCTATCTTCGTATAGATCAAATTCAGCTTCATCACCCTCAATCCTGTGTCGCGAGACTCTTTGTTGGTCGCTGGGCATCGGCTTTTTTCTCACCTTACTAGATTTGCCAGGCTTATGGAGCTTCTCATTCCTTTTCCCGCTGTTATCTTTATTTCCCTTCCCCGGAGAAATTGTCATCTGGTGGGCACCACCTAAGGCAGAGGTCATCAGCTTGGATGCCGCGAGTTCCTTGCGAACCGTCATTGCAGCCTCGTCTCGCTTGGCACGGAGCAACATAAGATTGCTCTGTGGTGGCCCCACTCTCGCATCCAGATCATTTGGTCTTGCAGTAGCCTTTGTTTCTTTGTGCATTCTGGAAAACGACTCTATCTTCCTTGTGTCGTTATTGTTTGTTCCATTTCGCTCTAACTCAAAACGCTGAATGGCTGCAAGGTTGCGTAGTAATTCAGAAGTGTTTTCGCGAAGCATCCGTCTGTTCAAATCCTTGTTCCCAGTCGAACTAGCCAGCCGTTTTTGTGACTGTACCATGTGATTGGCAACATTGGCAATGTGAGACACTATGTCGTCGTTTTGCTTCACAGGATTCTTTGCTTGTCGTTGCTTTTGTTGTTGACGGGGCACGATGGCATCTGTATGTTTCACGAAATTCTTTGCTTGTTGTCGCTGTCGTTGTTGCTGTCGTTGTTGTTGTTGTTGTTGTTTTTGAGGCACGATGAAGTTTTTTTGCTTCATAAAGTTGTTTGCTTGTCGTTGTTGTGGTGCCGCCATTTGGCACGCTCGATGTGGCATTGGCGGTGGAATTCGACTTGATATATTATTTGTGATCATGGCGCTTGGTTTCGGCCAATTGATCACTTCTGAAGGTGCCGGATGCTTTGGAAGTGGATTTGGAATCCAGCCTGACGGCGCATCATTACGATCTTCGGCAGCAGCAGCAGCGAATAGCACTTCTAACTCTTCGCTCTCTAGAGAACTGGATCCGTCGTCTTCAATAAAACTCTCATCAGCCTTTGCAGCACTTCTTGGTTCATTGACAAAACCCAACTTTTGAAGCCTTTGATTTTTCCTTGCCTCAAACTCTTTTATCGTTCGGAAAAGCTCTATTTGATACTCATCAAATTCCCTTGGCGGTTTTTTCTCATTAGCATTCGCTTTGGCATTGAGGAGACGATCGGCCAAACGCAATTCATCTACATTGTACCCCTTGACGTCTCTTGGTCGAGTAGCCACAATATCAAAACAGTCTCGAGGAACTTCCTTTCTCAAATCGAGAGTCGCCGTGCGAATGTCATTTTCTGGATTGCCTTTTCCAAATCATTGTTGGTGAGACGAATTGACTTGATCTCAATAGCGAAAGAAATTTCGATCAATATGCTCACCTTGTTTTCCTGCGCCCATCGCACCAGCTCTCTGTCCCCGATCTTGTTTTGGTATTTTGAACAGCGTTTGTAATTCGTTCTGCAGGTCGTTTGACAGCTCAGCAGACCCAGATTGTTGTTTTTTCCCGTTGTTCTTGTTGTTGCTGTTGAAGACATAATTGCCACCGTTTCTAGCGCTATTGCTTAGATCTACCTCTTCTGTTGTCATTGGTTCTGGATCTCTGAGCGTCCTCTTCTGATTTTCTTGACTGGTGTTATCCGTCGTCGAGGCATCATCATCATCAGCACTCAGCATCGACGAGGTACTAGTACTACTGACTACAGAGAAATCATAATGTACAGAACCATGGTCCGTCTGTGATTCTCTCATATATCGTAGAGCTCTCTTCAACTTTTTCGATCGCTTGAATTTGATCGTCATGGTACACAGAGAGTGGTGGTGAATGGACTATAGTGGAGGGAAGCGTGTGAGGGTTATGAATGAGAATTTAGCGATAATTCGTGACTGAAGAACCAGGATTCGATCGCGCAAGGTCGCGCACTTTCTATCAAGGAGCATGATGCTCCAACATCATAAAAAAAGGACAGCTTCATTTTGTCGGGGGACCTCATCATCGTGTCAGCTCACTCTCATCAAGCCATTCATTGATCTGTATTTTTGTTATTCTTAGTATCACTAATCAAAACCACCTTTCAATTCCTGAACGAGTGAGTCCCAAAGGCCATTCACATAACACACAACCACAAACAGCACCAATGTCCAGCAAATTGGATTACCTTTCCAAATACATCTCATCCGAGCAGGACAGTAAGTCGAAAAAGAAGAGCAAGAAGAAAAAGAAGAAAACGAAGCAGAGTAGTGACTATGAGGAACCACCCAAGCTACCAGTAAAAGAAACTTCTGTATATGACGAGGATGACGCCATTCAATTCCCCAAGGGTGACTTGGCGGAAGATGACGATGACGATGATATCATGGCCATACCCGAAGAGGATCGACCGACCATTGTGAGTTCGCAAGACTTGGGGGCGCATGGTGATTTGCTGTTACCAAAAGTTCGAGTTCAGTCTCGTGGTAGTTGGAAGACGACGACCGCTACTGGGGCCAGCACCAGCAATAACAATATCCATGGTGATGCCGATAATGTCAATGCCGATCCACATCCATCGCGACGTCGCCGATACGATTCTTCCGATGACGAAAGCAACCAACGACGTCGGCCCAAAAGACGGCACGATTCCGAGGATGAAAACAAAAAGCCGACAATTGATAATCGCAGTGCCTCTCCACCACAAAGACGTCGATATGACTCTGAAGAGGACGGACCGGAGGCCAAACCTGAGGATACGCACCGACCACGGCGACGATACGATTCCGATGACGAGAGCGATGGAAAGAATGGCAAACCTGATGAAGCTATGCGTAAACCTAGAAGACGATATGACTCGGAAGACGATGATGAAGACCCAAAACCAATTAAAGAACCACCGAAGGAAGAAGACACAGGAGGTGGTGATATGAGACGATCAAGAAGGAGATATGACTCCTCGGAAGATGAAAAAGACGACAACAAAAAGGAATCGTCGTCGCCCCAGCATCACCATCGGTATGATTCCGAAGAAGAGGGCTCGTCCGGTCGCAGGAAACGCCGAAGGTTCGACGTGGAAGTCAACAATGACGAGACAAAGCCACCCAAGGAAAAATCACCAGAGGCTCATCCAGATGTCGCAAAATCAGATGGCAATGCAAGAAGCAGACGGTACGATTCAGAGGATGACGACGAGGGGGAGAATTCGAATGACAATGGTGGCCGGCGCCAACGTCGTCAACGATACGATTCCTCGGATGATGATGATGACGATAACGTTGATAAAGATAAGAAAGGACGCATGTCATCTGGTCACAAGGCTGGATTGCAAAACTACAAGGACTTTAACAGTGCCGAAAAGGTAATTCAACAACGCAAGCAGAATGACGCACAGGTCATGGTGGACAAGTACGGTATGGGGGAGACTGTGTACAGGGATGCCAAAGGGAGGCGGACGACCAACACGGAAACTCCTGGGCAATCCGTCGAGCAACAAGAGCAAATTAAGAATCTGAACGAAGGCAAGCTGCAGCGCTTGGAACGAGAAAGAAAAGCCCAGGAAATGGTCAATTTACAAAATTCCACATTTGCCCGTCACGAAACTGACCATCGATTGGAAGATATGCGAAAAAACGAAATTCGAAAGGGGGATCCCATGGCGGCCTATGCCCTCAAGAACGATTCCAAGAAAAAGAAGAAGAAGAAAAAAAGCAGTAGCAAGCGAGGAAATGATGCAAATATGGAAGAAGATGAAAAGCCAACCTACAAAGGGCCGCCACCAAGACCGAATCGATTTGGAATTCGACCGGGGTACCGCTGGGATGGTGTGGATCGTGGGAATGGGTGGGAGGACAAGCTATTGGCAAAGCAGTACATGGCCAAAACGAAACAAGAGGAGGCGTATCGTTGGCGTTCGGCAGACATGTAAACTACAGTGTTGTTCATTCAAAACTATGATAACGATAAGGGCAGCTTGTTATCAGATCTCCTTTACTCTAGTATTCGATGATGACTTCGCCGTCCTCATTGGTCTCATCCGCATTGATGGTAACTGCAATTTTAATACAGCGACCAATACACGCAACACCATTTACGCCTGGTGTACTGCCTGCCACGCTCCAAGTAGCCTGTAGACCGCCTACAAAGGCCTTCACATTTGCAGTATCGACAACTGGAAGGAACACGACTATGTTCCCCTCACGCTTCAACTCTGTCTTCAGCTTGACCATCACCTTATTGCTTTGACTAGCGTCGAACGACAGTACCTCGTAACCGCATGAGAAGTGCATGTCACTTCCAATGTATTGAGGCACACCTGGCGTCACTGCCTTGAGGTGGAATATTTCAGACTGATGTTTTCGAAGTTTATGGCTCAGTGGTCCAGTAGCCTCTCGTATCGAAGACTTGGATTGATATGCCGATGCCGGAGCCCAAGTGTAGTTACCGGACCAAAAGGAGAAAATGTGACAACCATCTTTGCTCGAAGAAACGCCACCTGAAGGCAGTGGACGGAGAGCTCTTGGTGGAATATGCATGACGGTCGGCTCATCTGCAAGGTTAGAAAGGGAAACAACAGCCCATGTGCCCAAACCATTGGCAACATGGATACAGCTGCGTGCTCGATCACTCGGATGAGATTT